TTTTCAATATCTTGTTTAGTTACGATAATTATTCGATAGAGATTCTGGGAGGAAATGTCAAGAGATATTCAATGAAAGTTTCTTTGCATTCTCAATAGAAACAGTCTCAATAGAAAAAAATTTACAAAAAAGAACAAATTCTACTTATGTTTCCTATAAAGTAATTTCTGTTAGACATTGTCTATTGAAAAAAAAAGTCGGAAAGCTGCGCAACTTTAAATAGAATAGAATTATTGATTCATTTTATGTAGAATAGAATTATTGATTTTTTAACAGAGATGCCCTAGAATTTTTCATGCTCCAATCACGCTTCAAATTAATTCAATCCTAGCTTAAAATATTCATTTGAATGCCACGCTGTTGGAGGTGAAAGATCATTACAACAGCTATATCCATTGGGTTGATTTTTACGATTATGTTTGCGAATTTAGAATTTTTCTAAAATTTCTATGACAGTGGGTTTTGTGACGGTTCTTCAAATTCATTCAATTATGCATGGAAAAGTTTCTAATACCATTGTATCAAAGTCCCAAGTTGATATTGATAGCATCATTCTCTCATTTCATTTATACAAGAAATTTCACAAAAAATCTAATACGAATTGATTGAAGCATAATAGTATATTATGTCATCAGGCGATAAAGATATTATCTGGCGAATGTGGCATTATAATCCGAGCCTTCGGCTCGGATAATGCTTTTATTGCCGTGTGACATACGATATTTTATGTTGTTGGGCCCGAAAACCGCGATCTAACCAAGCGAAGCGAGTCAATGACGAATGATCTGCAAAATCACCATTCGTAAGCATATTGCAAATTGATTAGCAATAATAGCTATGTTATATGAAGACAAAAGCAATTTTCCACTTGTTTTCAAAAAGAAAACAAGCAAAATGAGAGAATCACAAAATCCATCGATTGCAAAGCTCCCATGCGGAACTGCAGTGAAACCTCCGTAAGTGCTCCGCTCCGGGGGATAGAATTTTCCGAAGGAACATGTTATGTTAGCGCCCCACCCTTGGTAGTGAAAAAGCACAAGAGTTGGAGTCTTACCATGTAAGACTGTTGGTGGGGGAAGAGCCACAAAGGCTATGCGCGAGAAGTAGCTAAATTCAAATACGAGATATTTTTAAATCGTCATTTATCATTCACGAGACCGAGAACGCGCGCTATAATTGTAACAGCCATAATTGAAAATCCCAAAATTAAATTGATCATGAATTAAATTTGCCGCCTCAGACGACTGGAACCAATAAGGAATAAGCGCGACAGACTTGCGAGATGTCGATAGTTATCGACTGTAAGTGTATGTTTTTTGTAGACTAGACCGAACGTGCGCTGTAATTATAACAATAATAATTGAAAACTTCAAAATTAAATGAATCCTGAATTAAATTTGCCGCCTAAGACGACTGTGAATCAATGAGGAATAAGCGGGACAGACTTGCGAGATATCGATAGTTATCGACTCTAAGTGTATGTTCATTTAGAATAGGAATAGGAACGATGAATGATAAATGACAGTGAAAACTTGCAGTTTTACTATAAAATTGCCATAAATGGAAGGCCTGACTTCCTGATTGTTGGAATTTTCTTTACGTAAACAGAAAATCATTACGCATATGTCACGCGCATTGGACCGAGAACGAGAGAGGTTCGAGAAAGAGAGAGAGAGAACACGGATTGAGGAGAATGCATTGGTGGGGGAACGATTCTCCTCCTGGGATGAGGCAGGGAGCACTTACGCAGGTGGACACTTATAGAGGGTTCAATGTAAAAATAAAATAGACTCGAAGTATTTTTTCAAATCATTGTCATAGGTATCAAGCTCGGGCTTTCTGATAAATGTCCCGGAGTGCAACATTTGCATCTGCGCCTCGAATTTACGCAATTCAATTTCACTTCTGGGCAGTTGGATTCTGATCGAAAATCTCTATCATCTTCCAAATGTCATACGTAATTATCAAACTATTCATAAAAGCTTCATACTAATAATAATGAAATGAACGAATGAATATGAATATCCACTGGGTATTTTCAGAAACGAAATAAACCCGATGAACCTCAAGGGTAACCCCTTGGTAGTCAATCCAGGAAGACGAAATCAATTTCTTCACCAGTCAACTTCGAATAGTTTCGTGAGGTTCAATGTGGCGAATCTCGAGGAAGGCAAAATGCGTTTTTTGGATGACCTGTCTTTCGAGAGTGAACCAATGCCTTTAACTGGTGTTGGACTATTTTATGAAATTTCCGGAGGAAATTATGAATTTTTGGCTTGGAGTTTTCACACCCGTCACAGTGATGGAATTGCTCATAGAGAGATAATCTTCGACGAATACGCTCATATCACAACATTTACGGAACATGGTGATGATACTAGAGGTGCAAACGACAACGTCAATCCACCATGTACAGCGGAGAAGTCCTGGTGTAAGAGACTATGCATTTACCGTCCTCAAGTTTCGGTTCCTGTCAGTGGAATTATAATCATTATGATTATTTACACCTTTAAGTGGATATGCTATTGTTTATCTAATAGTCGCTACGTTCCTGTGAGGGCTATTCCCATGCCAGCTCCTAATAATATGAAATAGTTCGTGGTTACATTTTTCGCTACTTAATTTTTAAATATTTTAAAAAAATTTTTATCAAGTAAAAATTACATAAAATAATTTAAGCTAAGATTAGAATTCTTATTCTATGAACATAACATGACTTGGCGGAATAGATCATATTGGTGACAAAAAATATTTCACCAATTTTTTTTTATAGAGAATTTTTTGCAGTGCACTATGCATAGATAGTAAATCAAAGAATAAATTACATGATAAATTACAAAAATTTCACTCACAAAAAACTAAAATTTGCTTTTCAAACCCCAGTGGGACTCGACGCGAAGTACACTAATGCCCCCAGTACCGAGAACCGCGTTCTAACTAGAGATGCGAAATGACCGTCATTTTTTAGATCGCGTCATATGACGAAAAAATGACGGTCATGTGACGCACAAATTTTCCAACTACAAATGATTGTCACAAATCATTTGTAACCAAATTGTTGTCAAACCATCTATATAGTTGCATAATGACGGTCATAACTAATTTCCAATTTGTGACGGTCATGAATAAAACAAAATAGTTTCATCTATATGGATGAAAAAAAATCGTGATTTCCATTTCAAAATGCGGATTAGGCCAATACAAAAGGAATTCAGCTGAAAATTGACCGAGAAAAAAATAAAGTTTCATCTATATAGATGAAAAATGACTGTCATTTTTTCTTGACAAGTTGTGACGGTCACAGAAGGGGAAGGGGGAATTGTGACAGCCGTTATGAACGCCTCGTCATGTGACCGTCAATGACGGGTCATGTGATGCATTTGCATCTCTAGTTCTAACCGAACAAAGTGAATTTAAAATTCGCGGTTTATCTATCCTCGGGACATAATATACTATTTTTAACGTGGATACGTCTATGGTTTCAAAATAGGGGGTCATTTTGGGAAACGATCCTTATGCGCAGCGCCATCTATCAGAATTCTAGAAAAATTCAAGGAGTTTCTAGAAATTTCGAGGAAATTCAGGAAGTTTCTATAAAATTCGAGGGAATTCAACAAGTTTCCAGAAAATTCGAGAGAATTCAAGGAGTTTCGGCAAAATTTACGGGAATGCAAGGACTTTCTAGGAAATTTGAGAAAGAAGGAAAGACCATGGACGAAAGATCACGTACAGTTACCGCTGTATCTAAGATACAGCCGCCGGCAATTAGGCTGTTTTTATCAAACTCAATGCAGAGGGCGCCATAGAGCCACCGGCTGATTTTTTTAGCGGGAGTGTATAAATAGCCAATTCTGTGGAGATTGGGGCGAAATAATGTTTGTTTATCTTTGAGTATGTAGGTAATACATTTTGAAAGAACTTTTATCGTAGGAACAGCATTAGTCTTCAACCTCGCTCTAATTAATTTTTGTCCTAAGAAACCAGTTTGTATTCATTTTTATCTGTTTAAGCTGTTTTATCATATTAGGTGGAACAATAGGATATAGTATATTTCGTAACGAGTGCAAAAAAGTGTTTTTTGGCAAGTCGGAGGTTTATATCACGAGCCGAAGGCGAGTGATATAATCCCACGAGCTAAAAAACATTTTTTCACGAGTTACGAACAATATTTTTCATCACAATGTGGCGGAAAAGTTCACTTTTCGTCACAGCGTGATGAAAAACTCATTTACCTGTAGATTCACTTTTACTAATGATTTGATCGGAAGTGAAATGATTCTCGCATAAACCCCTTCCCGGGTTCAGATCTTGAATACCAATAAAATCCAACCACTGCTGACAAATATGTGGAGATTTCGATGGGATCTGAAATCTACATTTCTTCTTGCAATTAGGGAAAGAGCAAGGGTAAACCATCGTTAACTGATCAATTCGGGGGTCCTTGAGCACACACCATTCAAATGTTTACAACAGGTTATGTTCTTTCGATCATGGGAGCCGCCATGTTGGAAAGCCGGTAGCACCCTGGCGCCATTAGTTCGTGAATTGGCCAAAAAACTCCGTAATTTTTATGATATTTATGTGTTCAATACTCCCAAGTAGCACACTTTGCGAAAGATATCTGAAAGTACACCAAAAAGGCAGACTAATGTCCGTCCAAAAGGTATCTTGCAGTCATACGATAACTTTTAGTTAACTTCTAGGTAACTTCTAGACACAAGTTACCTTTTTGGACAGACATTAGACAGCCTTTTTGGTATACTTGCAGATACCCTCCAGAACTGTGCTGATTGGGCTGCGTCTTCGCCAGTCAGAATAAAATGAAACATTCTAGTAACCGAAAATTACAAGTTTTTCGGAGTAATGTAAAAAATGTAAAAAACCCGTCAAGGTAATTTACGTAAATTACGTCGGTAAAAAATGGCGTAGTTTACCAACGTAATATGAGTGTATATAATTTTGACACGGTGTGTACAGCGCGTCTCACCCGGAAGGCAGCAGTGAGACGAAGCAAATGCACGTCCAAACACATCCAATTCGACGTCAATAAGACGGTTTTCCTGTGTTTATCTTCTTTTTGATCCGAATACTTGGAGAGTTAAATTCGTGAACATTCAGTTGATGAGCTAATTAGCCAATCTGAACAATGCCGAACCCCAATCAAGGCGGTGAAACCACGATTGCGGATCTCCCTGATGAATGTCTACGTCAGATTTTTCTGCACGTCCCCATGATCACTATTCCAGGGAAAAGTTGGATCAGTCTTCGCACTGGTAAGCAATTGTATAACAGATCAATAAGGAAAGAGAGCTTCGATATTTTTCTTACGTGGAAATACAATCTTGATTCGATGCTTTTTGTCTACGTGTTTAAGAGAATTTACGAAAAAAATAGCCGATGGGTAGTAACATGCATTGTGTGGGGCAGACGACAAAATGACCGGTATTTTTTTCCGCCTATTGTTTTAACGTACTTCTTCAGTCAGTTTTATGAGAACAGTTAATTTTTTTTGCTTTTCCTTCCGAATGCTATTTTTAGATTATGTTCGGATGTATGTATGTAGGGGTGGGTGGGGTAAAATGGACACTAGACTTTACACTACACTAGACTTTTTTAAAATTATTCATAACTCAGACACAAATTTACCAATTGAGCTCAGTTTAGGCTCGTCACAAAGGGAAAGAGTTGTTCTTTGTATTGAGAAAAAAAATTATTGAATTTCATCAACATTTCAACCCCTCATTAACATTTTTAAAAAAAGTCAAGTGTTCGTTTTACTCCAACCTCCCCTACGTACGTGTGTATGTGACCGATCGTTTTTCAGCGATAACTAAAAAAATTATTATTTAAGGCCCGGGTGGATTATCTTTCGAACGTGATCTTAATTGTTTTTTTTTTAATTTTGATAATCTGAAATGATCTCCAATTGCTATTCAATTTTACATAGCCCTGGAGTCTGCCCAAAAATTATGATTGTACAATCAAAAAAACGTTGAAAAAAAGCGGAACATTTTCAAAGAGCGTTTTTGAATAATATTTGACAATAAACCCAATAACGAGGAAATTGCAAATTAATAATTTGATGTATCTAATGGCTGTTAGATCGTCATTTGTCACAGTAGTCAATGGTTGTCAGATCATTCGTTACCATGATAAATTATCCATTCACTATTTCCTCTCTATCGGACTTATTTTTTAATCTTTATTTAAAAAAACACTTGTTGAAAATGTTTTTTTTAAATACTTTTTTTGATTGTACAATCATAATTTTTAGGGACTCCTGCGTAATGTAAAATCGAATGAAAATTGTGATATCTTTTACATTGTCAAGATGGAAAAATAATCGAGATAATGTTCGGAAAATAATCCACCCGGGCCTTAACCCTCAATCGGTCGCGCNTTATCCATTCACTATTTCCTCTCTATCGGACTTATTTTTTAATCTTTATTTAAAAAAACACTTGTTGAAAATGTTTTTTTTAAATACTTTTTTTGATTGTACAATCATAATTTTTAGGGACTCCTGCGTAATGTAAAATCGAATGAAAATTGTGATATCTTTTACATTGTCAAGATGGAAAAATAATCGAGATAATGTTCGGAAAATAATCCACCCGGGCCTTAACCCTCAATCGGTCGCGCCATGGCACGAGCGCCGTTCTGTCTCGATTTTTATTTTTTACGCTGAAACGTTGTTGAGAAAAAACCTGAAAAAATTGGAATTCCTACTTTCCACCATGTCAAACATTTAAACAATTTTTGTTCTGTGCATCTTTGCAGCGATCAAAAATTAAAATTCCTTAAAAATTCGACTCGGTCAAAATCTCTGTGTTTAATCTCTATAAATATCAAATTTTCGCACCGAATAGAAATCAATTTTTGAATAATGTTTTCACTTTTCTCGTTTTATACTGATATTAGTTGTTAGTTGGAAGTTCAAAGTTACTCGTTTAATCATAAATACATAATTTTTTTGAACTTTTTTTTTCTCAAAATGGCAAAATACACGGAACGGCGCAGCGCTCATTACCACTCATCACGCGACCAGATACGTTTAGTGGAGAGGTGCGACCACTCGAGAGTTAAATGAATCCAATTGTAATTTAGAATATTCTTCCCAATGCCATTTTGACCGAGTTCGATCATTGGATTGATTGCATCATTTGTTGAGAAAATTCATTTTGAAACCAATATTCAGAATTTTATAAAAAATTTTAACGTTCGGGCAATGTTGAAGTTAATGAAGTATTGAGTTTAATTTAATCCTTATGTAGTCGTAGCTCTTCACCGAACGTAATTGGCCGCAGCAATCGATTGGAGATGAAAAAAAATTATTAAGTAAGAATAACATCAGAAATTATCCGAAAATCATATACAACAAACGTATACAATTACCCTACAAGAATACTAGTGGTTCACTAGAAAATAGAAATAAATATCATCAGATAATCTCATAAATATCATTAGATAATCAGATAAAAATAGAAATAACTATCATCAGATAATCTGATGATATTTATTTCTATTTTTTCCTTATCTTTCCAATTAATTTCAATTATAGGGGCATGGATAATGTTAGTGACTCATTGTTATTCGTTTTAGTTTGCAAAAGATGGACCCCAATAATTGATGACTGTTGGCGTGAAACCAAACAACTTGTACTCTGTGACCGTGGTGATCAGTTATTTCTGCTTCGTTCATCACCAGAAATGCTCCTAGCAATCATGAGCAACAAATCACAGAATCGAAGAATCGCATGTGAACTGATTAAGCGTTGTGGACCCTTTCTAAAAACCTTGATAGAACAGCGTGCGTTACCATCCACAAGTTCCATAATGACCTCAGCTGCAGAGGAATGTGTCCAACTTGAGCATTTCGGTGGAATATTGCGAACAAAGACGGACGCCACACAACTGAGAGATTTACTCGACGCATGCAAAAATTTTTCATGCCTGAAAATTCATATACTCGCTGGAAGGCTTTACAGTTTTTTCCAGAGAATTCCAACTCATCAACTAACAGCATTGAGCATTTTTACGAGCGACAGTTGCGATCCACACTTGCCAAAATATATCAAAGCAACCATTCGTCATTGTCGAGACCTCAAGAGCCTGCATACTGATTACATGGATGATGAACTAGCAGGACTGGTAATTCTCAGTTTAGGAATTTCAGAGTCGTTACAGAATTGAATTTTCAGCAGAAACTGGTTTATTTATATTTTCAGCTTACGACTTTACGTGAAATTCGCCTCAGCAATCCAGGCATTGGCCTCTCTGATCGAAACGGGCTATTACCACTGATTCGGGATGAATTGCTGGTTTCGCTGACTGTGCATTGTCAACGATTAGAAACAATGTCACTTGAATGTAAGGATATTTTTCAACTGCACTGATAAGACAGAAATTAGTTGAATGAAGCTGGAACTGATAAAAGATGCGACAGGGGAAAATTCAGTTTAGGCAGATCTAGGGGTTCACAGAATACTTTAAGACATGTATAAATTTCATTCAGACAATAGTTGTAAATCAATTTTAATCTCTATATCGATAATGTATTTCGGTAGGATCGCGGCATATTGGAGGAAAGAGAATTTGACACTGACTAATTCTTTATAGGAGCGATGTTTCACTAAATACATCAGCTTCTTCAGGCCAAAAAGGCAGTTGTAAATTTCCAAATGGTAATTGTACTCTTTAGATCCTTCAACATCGTTTAAATTGGGTCTGACGCTGGCAAATCTGTCGCTCATTTGAGTTAATTTTAAGGCCCGGATGGATTATTTCTCAAACGACACAATCGACAACATATGACAATTTCTACTGGATTTTACATCACGCAAGAGTCTCTAAAAATTACGATTTTATCATCACCAAAAATAGAAAAGAAACTGAATATTTTTTCAAAGCGCGTTTTTAATGGAGATTTGGAAATAAGTCCGATACAGAGGAAATTGTAAATGGATAATTTATCATGGCAACTAACGATCAACTAACAGCGATTAGATACCGTAAATTGGTAATAATTTGCAATTTCCTCCCTATTTATGGGTTTATTCTCCAATGTTTTTCAAAGACGCTCATTTTCGGAGACTCAGCACGGATGAAAAAACTTAATAGAAGAACCTAGTGAATTCGCAAGACAATTTTGTTGGATTTCTATTGAACATTCTATTAGTTTTTGGCCGATTCTATTATTTTTTCTATTGAACATTTCAATATTTGGCCAAAAACTAATAGAAAGTTCAATAGAAATCTAATAGAATTTTCTAACGAATTCGCTAGGTTTTTCTGAATGGCAATAGGAGAACATTACAGATTATCTAAAAAAGCAAGCAATATCACGTTATTACAGAGACAGTGTTTTACTGTCAATCTTGTTTATAAGCAATTGTCCACGTAACAATTAGTACAGTCAGTAATGATACACATAGAAGTTACCATTATTTACTCTAGATAGATCGAAAAGGGACAAGTGGGACAAAATTGGCACTTTTTACTTTTTTGAAATTTTAATGACTCATTAAATTGTCAATAAAATAACGAATTTATTTCCTTCGAAAGTACAATTGTTCCCCTTTGCAATGAGCCCAGTCTCAATGCTCAATGCATACATTTTTTCCGAGTTACGAACATTGAAAAGAATGTGACAAATCTAAATTTTGTCAAACCCCATAGATTAGCTCATCAGTACTTTTCCTGCCTGCAACCACTTCTCTCATTCATAAATTTGACTATTGTTCATTGAATATTCTTTATTATTTCAGGTTGCATTTATGTGACAGATGCAGGCATCTCCTCTCTATCAGCCCTCCCAAAATTGAAAGTTCTTAATCTGTATAGCCTGCCTAGAGTTACTGGGAAATCTTTGCAGACGTTTTCTGAAATTCATGATTTGAACCTGGTGGGATGCTTAGCTGGTGATGTAGAAATTACAGGGATTCTGAGAAACTGTAAAATTCTTCAATCTCTTAATGTTGCCTACACTAATATCACAGATAAAACCCTCTATGTTGCTGTTGAAGAAACTAGGAAACGTATGAATAATATAACTCTAAAGATTCATTGTGATTATACAAGGGCTAATCCCCGCAGATTCCAAGGATCTTCTCCTCTTTTGAAAATTGTCGGATCCAATGATCGAGGCGGATTTTAAATTGATGTATGAAATATTCGTTCATATTTTCCTTGGCCTGCATAAGCTCCAAGGCATGACAGCCAGCCGAGATTTGATGTATGAGATGACTTGATTCACAAATTCTATAATGGAATGAAATTCTGGTTTTTTTTTTCATTCTTTCTAAACAAATAATAGAACTTCGTGGACAACAGTACCTTTCATAGAGCACATGAAAGATTCTTACAGTGAGGGGTGGTTATTTTTATGATGATAAACGAGGAAAGTCTTCAATTGTGAACAGAGAGAACAGTATCTTAGCAAGTCTTATCTTCCATGTATTCTTTCTTTACGTTGAAATAAAAGTTCAATAAGATTATATTATTAAAACCATCTAATCTACCATTTACACGTAAAATGTTAATAAAATTAATCATTTTTTCCTGAGTTTATGATTCCATTCTTATTGAAACTTCTGATTGTGAGTAAATGAATTCTCAATGTTGAAAGTTCTAATCGCAGAGGAAGTAATCCCGTCCACAAATCATAATAGTAATAGTTGGACATAAACTAGCCATTTTCAAAAAATTATAACTTTCAATTATCAATATTTTTTAATTTTTCTTTTTTGAAAATTTTGGTTTAATCGCCAGCTTTTCAGAAAAATTGAGACAAGTATCCTCAGCATCGACTTTTTTGGTCTGCTGATTTGGCGTGGATCTGGGGAGCGATTTTGCTCGTTTTATGTCGATATAAAATCATAAATTTCAAACAATTCTAGTTGAGTATTCCGAATTGGTTGAAATTTACGATATTATGTCGACATAAAACGAGCAAAATCGCCCCTCTGTTCATTTTAAATTTAACTTTTTGCATTTGATTGTGCAAATACATAGTTTCTGTACGGAATGTACAGTACAACCGCCAAACAACAACACCGGCTGTGATTCGCAGATGAAGTTAACCTATATAAATGTGGCCCTAATAAAAAGTCCTTCCGTTTTTCTTTAATCTACTTTCTTTGTCATTTGGCCAATTTTCTCAGTAAAAATCGTGGACATTCATCTCCTCAATGTGAATTGGACAAGTGGAATTCATCAATAAAATGTCAAACAACGGTCAAGAGAGTGAGACCACAATTTCAGACCTTCCAGATGAATGTTTACGTCAGATTTTTCTCAATGTTCCTATGAGTACAATTCCAGGAAAGAGCTGGATCAGTCTCCGTGCAGGTAAACAATTGTTGTAGAGCAAAACTCTATTTTCTTCAGTTGAAATACATTATTGATTCATCGTTTTGTCCTAGAGTTCTAGGGGAGGTTGGGGTACAACGGATACTTTTGACTTTTTTTTGAAATGTTCATGAGTGGTTGAAATGTTGATAAAATTTAATTACTTTTTTTCAATACAAAGAACAATTTTTTCTCTCTGTGACAAGCCTAAATTGAGTTCAACTGATAAATTTGTTTCTGAGTTATGAATAATTTTTAAAAAGTCTAGTGTCCATTTTACCCCACCCTCCTCTACCTTAACCTCTGAGACAAAATGTATGTTCAATTATTATTAATTGTATATTCTTTATCAATTTTGTAATGACGTAGTAACGAATAATGATTCAATTTCACCATTTGTTGATCGTTCATGCGGGAAAAAATACCAAAAGACCTCTTCCTTGCACAACTAGTGTGTCTTAACTGGTGATTCGTTGAGAATTTTTCTTCTTCTCAAACTATTGCAATATTTTTCGATTTTACTCTTCACATTATTCCCCTATCTTGGTTTGAAGTGCACAAACTATTAAATTTCATAGAAAAACCTAGCGCATGCGAAGGAAAAATCTATGATTCTGCTGGAATATTCCGCAGCTTTTCAATGTGAGTACTTTTCAGAGGACCATGTTCCTTAGATACCATTCTGTAGAAGACATCATTAGAATTTGATCTTTCCTTACAACTTATTTTATTAGATAGGGAAGGATGGAGTCAAATGAACACTTTTTACTTGTTTTGAAATGCTGATGACTTATTGAATTGTTGATGAAATGGAATAATTTTTTTTCTCAATGAAAAGTACAGTTCTTCCCCTTGTGATGAGCCTAGACTGAGCTCAATGGATAAATATATTTCTGAGTTATGAATATTTTGAAAAAAGTCAAGTGCTCATTGTACCCTACCCTCTTTTATGCTCTGTAGAAACACCTCCACGTACCTATTGGAATCTTTTTCCACTCTATTTTTCTTCTCTCATTGAAAAAATCCAACGAAAAAATTTGGAAATTTCAGACTACGGAATCCCTATAGAAATCTGATGGAATTCGTAATAGAAGTTTATCAGAAATTCATTTAATTGGAATTACCTAACGAATGCGCTAGGGTGTCGTATGAATTTGGTTCTGAATGGAAACATTATATTCGTTAAATCCGAAATATTTTTAGGCCATGCCTGTTTTCTACGATAACTGAAAAAATAGTTGTTTTAATTAATCCAATTATCATTTAAAATATTCTTTCCAACGTCATCTTGACTGAGTTCAATCATGAGATTGATTCCATCATCTGTTGGAAAATTTATCTAGAAACAAATATTCAGGGAAAGGTGAAAAATTTCAACATTGGGGCGATGTTGGCTGCCAACGTTGGGCAATGTTGAATTCAATGGATTATTAAATTCACTATATGACTACATATTTTAAGGTGAATTCAGTGAATCATTCAATTCACTTTAAAATATATAGTCATCCAAATTCCATTTGGAAACAAATTTCTAATTTATTAGCAAAAATATATTAATTATGTTGTAACGAAACCACTTTCCCAGTTTTCGCACGGGTCAAAATTATTAGTTCACCGAAATCAACAACAATCATATAAGAAATTGCATCTTAATTTTTCTGTTCTCAACTTTTCTGACAGAATGCATACTGCATAGTATGCATTCTGTCAATGCATCCAAGAACATTTTGTTTGAATTTTCCGCTTTCTTTCCAAGTTCTCTTCAACGTGAAAAATCAAAGGAACTCATTATCATTCCTGTTAGTGTGCACGAGGTGGACTGAAATAATCGATGACTGTTGGCGTGAGTTCAAACGGCTCCTGCTATATGATGGTGCTGCGAAATTGACTTTGATATCATCGCCCGAAACTCTGCTGGCAGTCACCAGCAATGAATCACTGAATCGAAGAACTGCACATGAATTAATCGAGTATTGTGGGCCTCATTTGAGAGTCTTAATGGAGCACCGTAAGTTACTCTCAACACCCTCCATCATGGCCTTGGCTGCAAAGGAATGTCCCAATCTTTGCGAATTCAGTGGATTTTTGATGACAAAAACCGATGCGATACAATTGAGAGAGTTACTCGACGCTTGTAAATATATGAAGAACTTAAAGGTCCACATACTCGCTGAACAACTCTACAGTTTCTTCCAGGGCATTCCAACTCATCAGCTAGAACAATTGAGCATTTTTGCAAGTAGCATTGCCGATCGAAACCTGCCAAAATATATCAAAGCGACTATTCGTCATTGCCAAGTCCTCCAGGGCCTGTTTATTGATTACGTTGATGATGAATTGGTGGAACTGGTAATTTGTAATTTATGAATTTCATTGTCATTGCCATAGTCTTCGTCTCGATGAGAAGTCAGACTCAGTTACTTCTTTTTTCAGCTTACAAATTTACGTCAGCTTTGTCTTGGCAGGCCAGATTTCACTATGATTGACCGATACAGACCATTACCGTTGATTCACGATAAATTCCTCGTTTCTATGAGTAAAAAGTGTCTGCAATTGGAAACAATCAAACTTCAACGTAAGAGTGATTTTGAATTATATTTCTTTATTTTCATTAAGACGTGATAATGATGATATTATTCAAATTTCATAATTAATTAGATTGTGTTATGATAACTAAAATCGGTCTAAAAAGCTTGAATATGTGATTTTTGTATACATACATTTTTTGGTATTTCTCCATAAAGAATCTATCAACTCCCATGTTTTTTTTACAGAATATAGATAGCAGTGAGTGCTATCTATTGATATCTACTAAAATCCATTGAATCACAATTTAGAAAATACTGATATTTCGTCGACAATCGATTTTTTAGAGAATCATTAGTGAAAGGGATTTATTCATATTCAAGAAATTGCTGTCAATGGTCTTTTGATTTCATCAGCATATCGTAAAAATAGCGCCGTAAATGACGTAAGACGTTTGCTTCCGAATGAAAGTATTGTTTTCGTCGGATTTTAAGTTTCTGACTTTTTATGTTAAAGTATAGACCGTAATGTCGGACTTCATCATGTTCAGGATGTTTTCTGACGCTTTCTGACAATTAATCTCCCAATTATTAAACATTAAAAGAGATGACGTACTAGTATTAAAGTTTAATCTGTTCGGAAGCATACTATTAATTTATCAGTAACAATGGCTATACTTCGCAATAATTAACGAAATTATCTACTTGTTTTCATGCCTATTTAACAGGCGAGACTGGGGCGAATCGGAACGTATGCAATCGACTTTACATCTTGAGATCTTTGTTTATAAACAGAAATATTGGGATTTCTAATCGATGACAAACGTTCCACTTTGCCCCATTTCTCTCTAGATATTCCTGAAATACTCATGATTATTTCAGATTGCATTAATGTAACGGATCAAGGTATCTCTGTTCTATCAGCCCTTCCCAACCTGAAAGTTCTCCACCTGTTGTGCTTGCCAGGAGTTACTGGGAAATACCTGAAGAAATTTGTTAATATCAAGGAGTTGAACCTGGTAGGATGCCCAGCTAGTGACGTAGAAGTAACAGGAATTCTGAAAAACTGTCACGTGCTTCAAACTCTCGATGTCATCTGCACTAAGATCACAGACAAAACTCTTGAAGTCGCCGTTAAAGTAACCAAGAAGCGCACGAATAATATAACTCTGAAAATTCATTGTTATCACACAATGGCACATCCTGAAATATTCGAAGGGGCTTCTCCTCTATTGAAAACTGTCCGATAGAGACTTAGAGCCTCGTTTGAGAATTTCGTAGACAATTCACCTACATGTATGACACAGACTTTTAATATTTATGCTGGCCTTAACTAAGATTTGACTGCTAAGTTAATTCGGTTTACAATTCCAACTGGAATCGTACCCTCTTATGATTATTGATAGAACACAGGCAGCAGTCTTACAATACGGTGTCTACTTTTACAATGATAAAGTAAGAAAATCTGTTCAATTAAAAACAAAAGAGAATAGTCTCATAAGATGTTTCTCTTTCAATGTATTCTATTAAGTTCAAATAAAATTTATGAAGATGGGTTATCACTTTTATACACACACAATGTCACCAATAATTTTACTTATAACTATCTAAATAACTATTGGAGAGGTAGCGGTCGTTAGACTGTGGATTCTGTCGATTCTGTCCTAAACACATATAGACCCGAGAGCTTGTTCTACCGGCCGGCGTCTGTATGTCATGTAGACCCTTTCCGTGATTAATAAAACGTTATTATCTTTCGTAGTATTGTAGACATCGAAATTCTAAAAAATTCCCTATGAAATAGATAAATTTATCAGCACAATGGGACTCGATTTTTTTTCAAGTTATTTTTAATATTTTTCTTCAATACATAATCAATACGGAACTGATTTTAGTGTCAGATGTATATTCAATATCAAACTTCTTGTTCATCGAGCTAATTTTCATCAAGTTCTGAAATTTTTACCGGATATAGTCTATACATTTGTTTGTCGCATGGTCCAAACGAATTTTCGATTCAATGAATGACTGATTTGTTGTTAATAAATTTTCGACAATCGCTGATGTTGGTAATCGTTTGTACTATCGAACTGAAATTAGTCTTAAAAACTCCAGAAAAATCTGTATAAAGGAATACCGTAATTGAACAACTTACTGGTGAAAGCTCAAGATTATCATTAAATTTTAGATGATAATTTTTCACCATCAGTGTAGAAATTGTTACGTATTGAACAGCGAATTCGAGTAGTATTCGGTGCGATATGGACGCCGTATACTTGAAGGGTTAAACATCAAATACACTACACTGAAAAGAAAAATTATTTTTGCAAAATATTCATTTACTTGAGAGAAGCATTTATTGTTTCAAAATCGTATTTCTTCAACTACGTCATGCCCAGGCGAGTCTGATTAACTATCAATTATAACAATCACAATGGCCTTGAATGAACTCCGCAAATGATTATTAATTTTTCCTAAATTTTTTATTTTTTATAGGGAAGAATATCGATTAATTTTTCAATGTCAATAATTATTGAAAGAGTTCACTCAAGGTCATAACTAACATAATTATCTTCTAGAGTAATATTGGGCTCGCTAAATAATTAAAACCTGTTGAGAATTGCCTGGGAATAAGTCGACTAGAGAAATACGGTATTGAAAAAATAAATACTTCTCTCAAGTAAATGGATATTGGGCAAAAATAATTTTTTTTCCTGGTGTAGGACTGGCGAGATTGTTTCACCAGAAATTGTAAATAAGTTATGCATTGAGCTCCCATTTCCCCCTTCCGCCTCATTAGAGTGGACAATTTCGCCAGTCCTAAGGGTGGGTTTTCACTCGTAGCGAACAGTCCGCAAATGACAGCGACTCGTCCGCTAAATTCAGGGATATACTCGAGCGCAAGGCGCCAAAATTCGAACATTGCTTTGTTTATCATGAACACCAGTAGACATTCCCCCCGAAAACCCCAAATTTTCAACATAATTGAATATGCACTCCGGCTAGTCTGTAATTTCTCATTGAATTTGGATCCAATTATTGAACTTACATTGATGAATTATCCAATTTTCAAATTTTGGCGCCTTTCGGTTAGGTGCGTCTCGCTGACTTTAGCGGACGAGCCGCTGTCATTTGCGGACTGTCCGCTACGAGTGAAAACCCACCCTTAAACAACTGACGAGTCCCTTCGCCGCGTAGCTACCCCCACTTTGGCTAATCTCCGCGCACATCCACATCCCCCACCTCTGAAAACGCAGGGACGAACTCGTCAGTCCGACAGTACAGTAATATTGGAGAGGTAAGGCGTGGACCCGATAGCTGTTACTCCTGTTTTCTTAGCTGTTACAATAGCCTGTTTCTTGTTCTGAATTGTAAGATTATACGTCAGAGCATATGCAATAACTCGAAGTATAAAAACTGGTAAATTTATTATACAATGGAATAGCATTCATGTTACTAAGTCCAATAAATGGTGATTCTTACCTCCCTTTCCACGGTTGCAATCCCTGCAAACTGTCCTTCACTCGGATTCAACAACATAAATTTGCATACATCCCATTCGTGAGGAAATAATTTTTGATTCAGTAATGTAATCTGCCATTGATATTCGAACCGTTGTCATTTTCAGAATAACCGATCGAGGCTATTCACATCATGTCGTCACATGTGCAAAAACAATACAGCTGCAGTAAGGTCAACGCAAATCACATTGATTACGAATGGCTCATAAAAGACTTCAAACTGTTCCCCCAAGAAAATACGAAATGCGTAGATTCACCAGTCTTCCATGCGAAGGAGAACGATCAAGTGAAATGGAAGCTTCAGTTGTTCCCAAACGGTTCTACCGAAGATTTCGAAGGCTATGTTTCACTTTTCGTCCGTGTAGTTTCACAAGATACTCAGAAAAAAGAAATCAGAGTCGACTGCCAACTATCAATCTTGAAATCAAAAAATATGCTATGCAGCGAGTCATTTATACAGACATATAATAAGGAGTACTCCTGGGGTTACCCCAAAATTATAGAAAGATCCAAGCTATTGAAGTCTTGTAGCTCTGATGATTCATTCACTATACGTTGTAAAGTTGCTTTCTCACAGAGGATTATTACAGAACCAGTCAAACCCTCGGTCGATTCAATATCTTTCGATCTACAAACAGGTCAATTGAATGAGCATTTTACTCAACTGTTTGAGGATTCACGACTTTCTGATGTTACCATCCTCGTGGGAAATGAAAAATTCTTCGCCCACAAACTCTTGTTGTCCGTGCGTAGTACTGTTTTTGCAGCAATGTTTGAGCACAAAGAAATGAGTGAAAATTGCAAGAATGAAGTGAAGATTGACGACATGGAGCCAGCAATTGTGAAAGCAATGTTGGAATTCATTTACACGGATAAGGTTTCAGACCTGGAGATACAAGCTCGTAAATTATTGAAAGTAAGCGATAAGTACGACTTGCATCGTTTGAGAGTTATGTGCGAGGAGATTCTCTATAAAACACTCACTAGTGACAATGCCGCAGAGATTCTAGTACTCGCTGATCTCAATCACTCACAGAAGTTGAAGGAATATGTCATGAGATTCATCGAAGACGATCCTCTCAGTGTGATCAAGTCAGAGAGCTACGACAGATTGGTGGAAGGGTATCCAGGACTAGCGAAGGAATTGATATACTCAATCATTTCTCGAAGGGGGACAAAGGCATGAAATTTTCCACTTCATCGATGTTTACGCCGATTCGTTTGAAATACACATTCGTGGCCTTTTCTGTTTTACTTCTTTTAATCTCTTTTTGAATTCATAATTTTGCAATATACATTTTCTATAGGGTAAATAGGCCGATAGATGGACGACCCCAACTGCCATTGAGTGTTATCCACATGATATAACTGAAACTGCTCATTATTAGAATTTTCAGTAATAATATTCATGTATAGTCCAATGGTAAACAGTCCGATTATTTACGACCGGGTGATAAAAAATAAATCGGCGTTAATGATGTTTCTGTCTTTGCCCGTTAAATTCCGATTGGTTGGTAGGTAGAGTTTCAAGTTTAAGAAAATTATGAGAGGTAATAGGATCAAGGGTATGTGGCCATTATTGTCCGATTACTTTCCAAAAAAGTGGTTGATAGATCTCATATTACTCATAAATAGTTAAATGAGCAATAAATATTAAAGAGTTATATGAGCAGTATGAGATCTATCGACCACTTTTTTGGAAAGTAATCGGACAATAATGGCCACATACCCTTGATCCTATTACTTCTCATAATTTTCTTAAACTTGAAACTCTACCTACCAGCCAATCGGAATTTAACGGGCAAAGACAGAAACATCATTAACGCCGATTCTTTTTTTATCACCCAGTCGGAAATAATCGGACTGTTTTACCAGGGTCATGCAGCAAAGTTTCGTTTTCAGAATATCACGATTTCAAATAACTTTTTCTTAACTATCACGCTGTTTTGGTCCCTTTCCTTAACCGTCCAGCAATTGGCCTCTTCACTCTAATACCGTTTTTCTCATATGCACACGAAAATGATCGTCATGTATGTCATTACTTGCATGTGTAATAAAAAATATCTCTCATGAATAAAAAAATTAGTGCTACTGCAGAACTGGGGAGATTGTTCCACTGCCATGAGCGGTGGGCAAATGGAAACTCAATGCATAACCCACAATTCCCAGTGGAGTCCTAAACAGCTGGAGCCATCAAACATCAAATAAATAAACAAATTCCCAGTGGAACTCTTCGCCAGTCCTACAGTAGCTGTGGTTTCCTATCAATTCCCCGTCAGTCCTCAATATATTTGGGAGATCATTGTAAAGATCAGGCTCAGTAATTGAAATAAGGAAAAGGCGATTTATTATCATGAACTGAAACAACAGAGAAAAACAAATCACATTCTCTTTCATATCAACAAACATTTAACTTGATAGTTCTCATTCTTATACAAGGGGAGGGGAAGTGGATAATTCACTTTATTCTTTCACAAAATTGTGAAGAAGGTGAGGCTTTCCATGCAAGTCCAGTCGATTACGGCTCAGTTGTGGAAACTTGCGGAGGAAATTCGTACGAGTACTTCTGCAACTTGGGAATAATCGCTTGATTGTTGCTTTGACAACAAAAAATGGTTAGGGTGATGTCACAATGAATGCAGCATAAGATGTACACAATTCTGATAAAAATTAATTATAATTGAAAAGCTACTGTTGATTTTTCCGCATGTTACATACGTCTCGGAATCCTCGGGTTTGTACTGCTCCATAGCTGTCCTGATGACATGGAATTATTTGGGAATGATTTAAATTATATAATGCGCTAGCATATTGAAGAGCACGCGGGTTAAAATAAAAAAAGGTTTATTAAATTAAAAGAGGCGAAGATAAAAATACAAAAGGACGTGTCATAACGAGGGAAAAAAGAATGAATTAAACAATTGAGAGACGCTGCCTTCGGAGGAGAGGTTCAGAGAAAAGAAAAAATGTGTAAATGATGGAATGCAACTGCGGAACCTAGAGATTCGTTACAATAGTGATGAAGAGACAGAGTCTGAAATAGGGGCATTCGATTGTAACATAATATTTTTTTATGACATGTGTATAAGTTATAATAATAAGTCATATACAAAAATAAAATGAAAATGTTTATTCTGAAGTTATAAATACAGAAAGAACGTTTTTCAGAGGAGAAACAGAAAAGACGAAGAATGCGTGTTTCAAATGAATTGGCATAAACATCGATGAGGTAAAAAATTTCAAGCCTTTGCCTTCCTTGCAGTAATGACTACAGAGCTCTCCGACTTGATTACACTGAGAGGATCGTCTCCGATGAATCTCAACATATTCCTTTAACTTCTGTGACTGGTAGAGATTAGCATGCAAGACTGGTGAATATGAATATTTCGTATTTCCTTGAGAGAACAGTTTAAAATCTTCTATGAGCCATTCGTAATCAATGCGATTTGCGCCAACCTTACTGCAGCCGTTCTGTTTTTGCACGTGTGATGACATAATGTGAATAGTTCCGATCGGTTATTCTGAAAATGATAACAGTTTGAATATCAATGGCAGATTACATTACCGAATTAAAAGTTATTTTCTCACAAATGTGATGTATGAAAATTTATGTTGTTAAGCTCGAGTGAAAGACGGTTTGCAGGGATTGTAATTGTGCAAAACGAGGTTAGAATCACTATTTATTGAACCTAGTAGCATGAATGCTATTTCATTGTATAATAAATTTACCAGTGGTTTTTATATCTCGAGTTATTGCAAATGGCCCGACGTATAAATAATCTTACAACCCAGAACACGAAACAGGCGATTGTAAAGGCATAGAAAACAATAGCAATATCTATCGGCTCCATAGCTAGCCTCCCCAATATTATTTGATGTCTAATGGCTCTGGCTGTTTACGACAGAGACCACAGTCTAACGGCCGGTGTCTCTCCAATATAGTTATTTAGAGGATATACTAAATTTTGTCGAAGAAGTAACCCCGATTTCAGTGATGAATAGCATGAGCATCAGTGGGAATTTGAATAGATTAAGTATATACGGCTGAGATATTACTTCTTTGGCAAAAAGGACTTTAACCAAAACGATCAGAAGAAGATATAAGGAGTGGGGGCACGTGATGAGTAGGATGCAAATGACCGTCACTTTAGATAGCATCATGTAATAAAAAAAATGACGGTCATGTGACCAACAAATTTTCAATCTAAGGGTGGGTTTTCACTCTGAGCGGACAGTCCGCAAATGACACGACTCGTCCGCTAAAGTCACCGACATACTCGAGCGGAAGGCGCCAAAATTCAAACCTTGCTTTGTTGATGAAAATCATTAGACATTTCCTCCCAAAACCCCAAATTTTCAGCATAATTGAATATACACTCCGCCTAGTCTGTAACTTCTCATTGAATTTGGATTCAATTACTGAACTTACATTAATGAATTAGGATGGGTTTTCACTCGTAGCGGACAGTCCGCAAATGACAGCGACTCGTCCGCTAAAGTCAGCGACATACTCGAGCGGAAGGCGCCAAAATTCGAGCATTGCTTTGTTTATCATGGACATCAGTAGACATTTCCTCCCAAAACCCTAAATTTTCAGCATAATTGAATATGCACTTCGCCTGGTTTGTAACTTTTCATTGAATTTGGATTCAATTATTGAACTTACATTGATGAATTATCCATTTTTCAAATTTTGGTGCCTTTCGGTTAGGTGTGTCGCTGTCATTTGCGGACTGTCCGCTACGAATGAAGACCCACCCTAAATGACAAAAAATACTTGTCGTCACTAGGCCCGATAAATCGCAATTTTAAACTCGCTTCGCTCGGTTAAATCGCGGTTTTCAGGCCTATTGACAAACAATATTGTTCGACACATGGCCGTGGGAACTTTTCAACCTCATATGATTACAGAACTCACCTTCAGCTCGTCCTGTAACCTCATATTCGCCAGAAAAGTTTCTCACAGCCTAGCGTCGAAATGTACTACTTCAAATTTTGGCGCTTTTTGGTTAGGTTTGGTTTGGTGTGTCGCTGACTTTAGCAGACCAGTCGCCAAAGAGGATTGACTAAACTAGAGGCTCTAGACAGCGGGACTGCTACTGCCGAGTTACCGGCACAGGCAGTTCGCCCAGCCGTCAGATTCGATCGTGGCGGCATCCCTCCGTTGGGGTCGAACTACTTTTGGCTTGGAGTCAGTCCAACCCCGAGATCTGAGCCTCTACTTTAGTCAATCCTCTTTGCCAGTCGCTGTCATTTGCGGACTGTCCGCTACGAGTGAAATAGTATATTTCGTCACTAGGCCGAAAGAAACTTTTCTGGCGAATATGAGTTTGCAGCCCGAGCCGAAGGCGAGGGCTGCAATCATATGAGCTAGAAAAGTTTTTTTTGGCCATATGACGAACAGTATTTTTTGTTATGACGACCGTAGGCAGAGATTCACGGACGCGGAGCGGAGCGGAGCGTCCGTGAAGCGCTGCCTCACGGCCGGAATGACAAAAATCCATATAACGGTCTTGTTCGAATCATAACCTAAAATATGTCGAGTGAGGTGGGTGTTGTCTCCGGTAGTTGCGTTATTTGTCCAGTCAGCAACGAACTTCGAGTATTGTTGACTTTGCACCTGGTACATCTAGTCCTGCAGCTCGAAGGAATCCACAAAAACTTAAGGTATTATTGACGGGAGATTGAGATGAATCACGAATAATTGTAGACACTGCCTTGGAAAATATTTCATGTGAGAGTATTCTATCTTGGTGAGTTTACTGTATATAAAATGGATGAACCATTGTGATTTTCAGGGTGTGGGAATCATCGTCTAATAAGATTACCTGCACCATGTCGTTGTCAGTACACAAACAGTACGGCAATACTACAGTTGAGAGACTTCGCTTTGCATATGAATGGAAAATTGAAAACTTCAAACTCCTCCCTCAAGAACATGGAGAGTTCATCTCTTCTCCTACTTTTCATCCGAGGGAAAAGGATAATATGAAATGGAGGTTAAGATTGTACCCAAGAGGTTCCGGCAAAGAGAACGTGGGCTATACTTCACTTTTTCTCTTCCTTGATTGTCAAGATGCTGCAAAAATGAAAATCAAAGTACACTGCAACCTCTCAATCGTCAGGTCGACAAGTGTCAATGCAACTTTTTCATTTGAACAACAATTTGAAGACGAATTGTTGTCATGGGGTTGCCCGCGAATGATCGAAAGATCTAAATTGGTCGACACACCTGACCCTTGTTCAATCACTATAAATTGCAATGTTGAAATCCCACGGGGAGTCATCACAAAATCAGTTGCTTCAGTGTCTTTTGATTTGCAAAAGGGTCAATTGAATGAAAATTTTTCCCAACTCATCAAAGATTCACGTTTTGTCCCGTTTTATGACGTCACCATTATCGCCGAGAGGAGAAAATTTCGAGCCCACAAACTTGTTCTGGCCACGCGCAGTACTGTTTTTGCAGCGATGTTCGAACACTCAAAAATTGGAGAGCATCGTAAGAATGAAGTGAAGATTGAGGACATGGACGAAGCCACGGTGGAAGGAATGCTAGAATTCATTTACGCAGATAGTGTGAAAGATCTTAAGATGATGGCACGTAAATTATTGCAAGCGAGTGACAAATACGACTTACCTCGCTTGAAGGCGATGTGTGAGAAAGCCATTTAAATGTAAATAGTGCGGTAAGACCCGCAGAGCACCAGGTAGTGTAGTTTGAGTGATTCACGCAAGAGTGAATGGAGTAGTTCACGCAGAATATTTTCTCTTCGGAGTGATTCACGCAAGAGTGAGTGCAGTGGTTCGCGCAGAATATTTCCTTTTCGCATTTAACAAGGACAACGCTTCCATTTGGAAACAAAATTCCATAAATTTCATAAAAACTTTCTCTTTTCAACGTTTTCTTCTTAGGAATGAATTATAAAATGGTTCAAACTTCCAAAAAATATAATTCGTTTCACCTAAAATTTATTTTCGATGCCATTCTGGGTGTAGAAAAATTAGTTACAATTTTGGAAATATTATTCTTTGATTAAAAAATTAATAATAATTTGATAATTCATTTAGAAAAGGTCATGGTCTCGGAAAATCGGAATTTTTCAATCATTTCATTGCTCTACTTCAAAAAGTCGACTTTCTATTTTTTTACATATATTTGAGAAATATTCCTTCATAATTATACGTAAACAGAAGGTATACTTATATTTCAAACTTAATGAAAAGGCATCAACGTTGCGGCGCTAGTGTACATTTCTATACATACAATTGTCAACATAAATTCTGTCCTACTAGCCTGAACTGAGTATAGCATGTGATTGACCAGTTAAGAGTATCCCTCATTCCTCATTGGCCATGAGCCCCCACTCAGTTAAGGTTAGTAGGATAGAGCTTTTGTTGACGATTGTATACTATGCTTCTCTACGGCACTCTGTCACGAACGCAACTCTCTCTCTGTCCGCTTCGTGATTTTTTGAACACACGGGAGGCATAGGGGAGCCATACTCTACGTATTATATTATGAGAAGGTGCTCCAGGGAAATTAATTGTCTAAAATTTTGAAATTATATACTATGCTGTACTACAGCTTTTTTCCTTTCTAATAAATTTACGGATAATAATAAAATAACAAGACTTGGTTTTAATGCTGTACTGAATTACAAATGTACTTCTTGATTTTTCAACAACTCTTGCAGTTGATGATATTAAAGACATTAAAGATTGTACAAAAATGGAGAGACAATAGGTATAATTTAGGACTGACTCTCCGCCAAAGTTCAGCTGAATCCGTCCATTAGTTTTTGAGAAATCGCGATTTTTTTAACGCTTTTTCCCAAATGTCTCGGGAAAAATCCAACCGATTTCAATATTTTTTTTCAATTGTTCGTCTTGATGTCCTTGATTTTAATCAATCAAAATATATATACCCGTTCATACAAAGTTTTCGAGATCTATCGATTTTTGTATTGTTACCTCGAAATCGTTGTTTGGTCTCTAGCAGACGCAAAAATCGGAATATCAACGTGTTTTATGAGAACGATGCAACTCGAGCTGAAAATTACAATAGTTTCATATCAAACGATATTCAATTATTGATAGTGATTTTACTTGAGTTTTTCCGAATCATACCTTGAGATTTTGTGCATTTATTCAGGCTATGACCAGATATAATCCAATTTAGCTACGACTCGATATCCCCCACCACTCAAATCTAAGTTCCCAAGTAGCAAACCTTGCGAAAGATATCTGAAAGTATACCAAAAGGACTGACTAATGTCCGTCCAAAAGGTATCTTACAGTCATCCGATAACTTTTAGTTAACTTCTAGGTAACTTCTAGACACAAATTACCTTTTTGGACAGACATTAGACAGCCTTTTTGGTATACTTGCAGATACCCTCCAGAATTGTGCTACTTGGGTTCCTTCTTTCCTGGCGGCGGTTATACCGTTTGGTCATTGCCGCCACAAGAGCCGAGAACATTAGGGCGAGTTTTCATTCTTCGTTAACCTCATTGAATAAAGAATTTCAGGAGGTATTTTGCTCGTTTTATGTCGAGATAAAAACTTACTTTTTTCTCGGGCCAGAGGATATTTTCATCAACGGAGGCACTAGTTAGGTGTCTTTGGGATCGTTCGAGAGTTTAACACGTGGAGGGAACTCAATACAAAAGAGTTGTATAGAAAAATTAAATTCTTATGATTATTTTCTATACAGTAGTTTCAATTAGAAATATTCTGTTGAGAATTTTTCCCATCCAAATTTCAGCCAATAGAATTGCACTACTCTACGTTATTTTGTATAGCCCCCACACGGTATTCAACTGATAATTTTTTGATAATTTCGCTCATCATTTTTCATGTTGCCTATATGAATATATGAAGAACAACAGATTTCCTCGTCGAGTGAACGCCTCGTTGAAACTAACAGATATTCTCCAATCGGGTATTTATTTTATTATAGAGTAATTTTTATAATTATTGCGGGACATAAGAAAAAAAGGAGAGGATTTGATAGGCCCATAGAATTAAGGGGACCGGTAAGGATTTGGAAGGTGTGAACACAAGTCCTGGTTACACCTAACGAGTGTTAAAATGGGATATAACCAGAGGTAGAAAGGTCTCGGAAGCACTTGGGAAGAGGTTTCCCAAGACCTATCCAGGTCTGAACGGAAATACCTAAGTAGAAGTTGTCAGGTCCAATTATTCGACTCGGGAACCCCTCCCCCTTCCTCTTCCCCTTCCCATCATCAGACCCTGAATCAACTAACATAATACCACCTTATGAACTAACATAAGGTTCATAAGGTTTAATGACCCTTAATTTTTACGGAACAAATCGTAGAATTTGCGTGGCGATTCGTACAATTTCAGTTCCGACTCACACTTTTGATTGAATTTCACTTCGCTCGCGGATTATGTTTCGAAACGTAATTTTTACGTTTTTTTTCTGGTAATTTTTATTGAATTTTTCTCTCCGTGTACAGTCATTTTCATGGAGTTTTTTTTTGGAGACAGAGAAACAGAAAAACATTTCCTGGAAAAAATTACGTGCTACCACTATAAACCTGACGCAATTTGCAGCCTTGGAAGAACTATCGCGTTACACCTGAAAAATTATTGTCTAGCACTAAAAATTTATTGTGATCCGAATTATTTTTCCGATGCCGTAGAATAATTATTCTGGTGTAACATGACAATTTTTCTGGTGCTGCACGATAATTTTTACAATAGTGCACCACTTTTATCATGATGGCACATGGATTTTTCTAGAAAATTTTTCCCCATCGAATCCTTGAGAGATGTAGATTTTTCCCGTTTCAATAAAACAATTTTCCGGGAATACTATTTCAGACATCTAAGATTCATTAGCTCATTTCGGATGCCTAAGTATTGCCTCATTGTTGTAAACAATTTTAAATCACTTTTTAAAAATTATGAAACAAGTGACAGTGCCACGTTCAGGGTCTTCTGGAAATCTCGATGCACTGATAGAAAAGATTAGTCATTGTTAACGAATGGATTTGGTTGGAGACGAAGGTCTATTCGATCTCACCAAATGTTCATTCGTTAATAATTAACAAATGCACATTCGAGAGACCTTGTTAGACACGATTTTCACCTTTCAAGTGAACCATTCGTTAACTATTAACAAATATTCGTTTGGTCATATTAAATTCCGCCATTTGTTAATAGTTAACGAATCTCGTTTGGAATAAGTGAATCAGTGTGAGTCTAGTCGCACTCATTCTGAAGCAAGGATGATAAGCGAGTGGAAAATTTTAAGGAATCCAATTTTGTAGAAATATTGAGTAGAACAATACCAAAAGACCACGTATAGTCTTTCTTAGATACGTATAGTTCTCGAGGATATTTTTTATACCTGCAGCGCACGTGGACGTCTGATAGTAGCTTCTTCGTTCGCCTTATCCTAGCAAAGGTAATAAACGAATGGAATTTTTTTTTGATAATATGAACATAAGGAAAAGGAATCTAGAAGAGGAATAATATTCTGCAAGTCCTTCACGGAAATGAAAATAATTAATTTGTCATGGAATTAATTTTTTATTGGAAGAGGTCAATATAGAATTTTATAAATTCTAGAATATTTATGCGAAATTCATTTTACCTTTCCTTTCCTCTTGTCATGGCCTTGATCTTAATTTTTGTTCTCATATCTAAATATTAAAACCTGATATAATAATGGACACATTCCAAACAGTATGGATTCAACAGTTTCAATTCACGACATAGAGCAACATGATTGTCATAATTGAAACCTAATCAGGTTCGCCGGAGAGTGACTCAATTGGGGAAATACGATTTTGAAAAAATAAATGCTTTTCTCAAGTAAATGAATTGTTGGCAAAATATTTTTCGCCAAATATGTTTTTTGGTTTTTGGCGTAGGCGGAAAGGCAGATTGAAAAATGTATCCTTTCCGCACGCCGTGACGAAAAATAACGTTCTCATCACGGGAAGTAAAATAAAGGACCCTTACCCACGTGCTTACCAATAGTAATTCTGCACGTGGGCATGACTCCTTTATTTTCCTTCCCTTGGTGGGAAATATACTATTTTTTCACACACCTGCACGGAAAGTTCGTACTTTCCTCCCGCTCATCAAAGAGCAAAATACGAACTTTCCTTTGCAGGCGTGTTAAAAAATAGCATGTGCACCTCGGGCGGGAAAACATGACTTTCCGCCCTTGATGCACAATATACTATTTGTTCGCAGTGTACAGCCCAAATCTATGGTTTTTGGCCGCATGATTTTAAATTATTGGGTCTTTTGGATCTCACACCAGCAACTTCCCTGTCATGGATCCGTATGATCGATGGGTAACGCCAAGAGCTGGTACAGCTTGAATTTTGATGCTATACCATGCTTGTAAATTTATAGAAAAAAAATATTTTCAATGTAATTGAAAAAGGAATTGCCTTTAGGAGGAAGGTGATGAAATGGTTGGTGCCGGATATCTACCTGGTCATCCATAATAATTTTTGTAGTGACGAAACTTCGATTCAATGAATTATTGATTAGTTATTAACAAATTTCTAACAATTGCCAATCTTGACAACCGTTTGTGCTATCGAACTAAGATTGGTCTTGAAAATTCCTCAAAAATCTGCATAAAGGAATAGAGTATTTCAACAACTTTTTGGGGACAGTTCAAGATTATCATTAAATTTTAGTTCATAATTTTTAAATCATTAATAAAGCAGTTATCGCATATTGAACAGCGAATTCGACGAATGACGAATTTGACCGGATGGCCGCCAGCCAATGAGATCATACCACGCGATATGAGGGGGGTTGCTGCACTTAAGGGGTTAAAGTAGAGGGATATGTGTCAACATTACGAATACGTAAGAGGAACAGGAAGAGACAATCCGATGAATATTAAGTTGCGCCTTTTAATCTAGTTAATGACTCCTGTATTTATTAAAGGAACATCGGCCATCGGGAATTTCATTCTATTGTTCGAACATTAAGGCTGCGTCGTTGAACTTAAAATTTAACAAAAACTTGTGACGATCGAGTTTAAACTTCTTTTTTTCTGTTTTGCGAATTAATCATCGCACGAACGAGAATGTGTGGTCGAGTGTGGGCGACAATCTCCACTCTGGTATGCTTCTGATTTCTGATAGCAATTTCTCACTCGAAATCTCAGTACGTATCAATTTAAGGGGTAACAGAAGTTTACCGTTTCCTCGAAATTTTCAAACAAATTTCCTGCGCAGTGATTAATATTTTTCGGACCTAAAGCACATTGATCTTCATCATCACCTCCTGAAGATTAATGTGCTTCGATTAGTGATAATATCGATAACTTTTGGCTGGGAATTTGTTTAAAAATTTGAAAAATTAGCAGCTTTCTGTTACCCCTTGACGTTCATTCTCATCAATCTGGCAATCAGGAGGTGGAACAAAATGAATTAATCTTAACTCGAAATCATTTTTTTGGGAATGTGTGGGAATTGCCTCTTATTGATATAAAGGTATTCTGCGAGAATTCGAATCATGATTTTTTGTTTCACCATAGAGATTGTAGATTGTGATTGAGTGTATCAATTTCAGCTATCAGTTCGAATTCAGCAACAATGACACTTAATTCTATGCATATTCTCTGATGGAAAATGTTGCAAAACCGAAATTTTCCCTTTCGTAATTCATACATGTATGTATGACCGTATTACGACCAAAAAAATTATCGATTCGAAAACTTTCGAATTCCGGTTGTAACAAAATTATCAAGTGACTAATACGATGATAACATTCACATAAAACTGTTTCACATGCATGCTATCAGTGATGTTTGACGAAAATGATGGAATTCGACCTTGAAATTTATGACGGAACTCTGGTATCGTAAAGAAGTAAAGAAAGTTATCTAGGAAATGATTTGAAACTCCAAGTATCAACAGTCTTTTTCACATATTTCCGGAGATGATTTTGATATTAGTAGTCGATGCATGGTTTTAATCCTAGAAATTGGTTTTCCCGCCGACTGTACTTCATCAAATTGTAGTCCATCCAAATTAAGGTGACTTGAAAGAGATTCATTTAGAACAATCATTGAACACGGAGAGAAATGTTCAGTAAAAATTACGGAACTCACAATTCGCTCACCAATTACGGAATCGACTCAGAAAATTTAAGTGACGGTATCGTAATTTTTCACAGGAGATTCAGATAAAAATTACGGAACGCTCTGGAAAAATTCGGTGACAGTTCCGTAAAATTTTCTACAACCACATTTCGTTCCGGAATTACGGAAAAGATACGTAATTTTTATTGAATATTCATCTCCGTGAAGCACGTTCTAAATGTCAATACCTATTTGTAGATCTTAATTTATTTCTTAATCGGCAGGTGATTGCAGGGGCTATTCTGCAAGTCGCACAGGTACATGGGAGCGATAAAGACTTGAATACGTGTGTGAGCAACCTGCAGTTGAACCGGTGTCTCAATCAATGCGTGCAACAATACGGACAAATCTTGGGAGCAAGTTAGTATTGTTGATGTTTTCAAGAACTTGAAGTTCATGAAGTTATTCAATTTAATTTTCGTTTATACTCTCCATGGGATTCGTATAACTATGAACATGTCGCTCCAAACGATCAACTGGGTGAATCTGAAAATTCGTGACTGTAACTCATGGCGACATATAAATTTGAACCTCTTTGAGACACCTCATAGAATATTATGGGTGTCCATGTAGATGTACGGGACTTTCCAACCGGCTCTTCCCTTCAAGAGGTGTATAATTGTAAAATTATAAATTGAATGTATTTCACATTAAATTGAAGGATGCATGGTCAGGCATTTTATATTACCATTATTTAGTGTTACCCATCAGGGTTCACAACGGGGACGCAGCTGGTATAAAGTACAAAAAGCCAAAAAGGTTGAAAAATTCTTTGACAAAGTCACACTAATTTAGCTTCAACCATCGACCGTTCCATCGTATAACACATGCCCTTTTAGGATATATGATACTGTTATGTCCAGCGATGAACAGAGACAACACAGCTTAATAAAATAGTTGGGGCGGTTTATTTATTGCTCAAAAGAGTAAATACGATGTGTTTTGCACAAGGGCTTCAAAGACAATGCGTCAAATATCCATGTTAGCCAAAAGACAGTCGCTACCAACGAGGGCTTCTTAATATCCTCGGGAAGATAGACAATTGAATCAGGATTCGAGAGGGGATACACAACAATACAGTTGTTATACAGTCGAACACTAAAGTTCGTGAACAGAATACATAGGATACAAGTTCAGGTTGTTCTCGAACTTTAGTGCTCGACTGTACCTATTACAATAGTATTGTTGTTTGTATTTGGTGACGTGATTCCTGCACTGAGAGAAATTTCAATGGTAATTTCAACTACAAGGGAATTGTCCAACAAATAATAGTTACGGCAACAATAAACATTGTAGGTTCAACTATTACATTAAAGTAAAAACTACATCATAATGTTGATAACGCTATTTGACATAGTAAATCGAACGATGAATCCTAGTTTAATCTACAAAGTTTATTGTTACTGTAAATATAATTTCTTTGACAATTCCCTTGTAGTTAAAATTACCATTGAAAGTTTTCTCATCAGTGTGAAATGTATTCTGAAAGTTCCTTTGCATACGGAGAATTTCATTAATCCATTTACTTTTTCAGGCTATCCAGGAGCACCTGGGGCACTTGGAGCCCCTGGAGGTTACGTCGGTGGCATTGGAGGAATTGGCAAAGTGGGTGGAATTGGGGGTGTAGGATCTGCAGGTCCCGACGGTCCATGGCCAACCGGCTCATCTGGCCCTAGCGGGCCATATCCCGGTGATCCAGACTACGTTCCTTCAAACTAATAAATTCTAATAAATTCTCTAGGAGATCATTCCTGTTTCCCAGAGTTCTTCATCAGAATCAGGAATTTTGACTGTGATTAAGGCATCTATGAAGGTACAAACTAGCCGTACATAAACCGTATGTAACAGATTATTGTAAAGAGGAATTTCAGAAAAATAGAATATCAGAAAAATAGAATTTGGGATGAGTGTACCAGATATATAAAATGAAGAATATGAATAAATAGAAAAAAAATATTCTCCCCCCCCCCTCCCTCCTCCCACGGGGGATCTCAGGCAAAACTTCGTTTCCTATTTTTCCATGTGTTCACCTACAAATCAGTCAAAAACTAGTCAATCACCTATCAATTCATGGTGATGGATCGGCCAGCGATCGATTAGCAATCAATCCCCGATATCGGCTACTCAGCTATCGTTTGTCGGTGTCGAGTAACCAGGGATTAGTGACCAACCAACGATAAATCGACCAGCAACCAAGTAAACAAGTCAAACCCCCTCGGAGCCTCTTCTCGAGTTCTGTGAAGATACTTTCATATACGAAAGCCGAGGTTCCACAAATTTCATGTGCGAACGTCAATTTCCGCACTAGAGGCCTCGATTTCACATGCAAATATTTTTCGTTGACGATTGTCAATATTCACATACCATTTCGTCCATCGTGATTCACATATCACTTCGTCCGTCCTCCTATAGATAATCTTTGAGGATAACAATCTTACCAAGAAATTGTAGCAATTCAGTAGTGAAGCGGTAAGCCGGGTTAAGTCGATTTTGACCGGTCGCCAGTTTTTGACGAATATCTCGGAATCTAAAAGAGATAGAAATTTTTTTGTCAAAACCTTTTTTGTAGAGTCAATTGAGGGTTATAAAAAAGGTAGTAATGCCGTCGAGATTACAGGATAAAATTTTTGGATAGATCACGGTCAGAAAAAACATCTCAAGTTTTGGAATCGTCGCAATCTCGAAAAACATGAGATCGGTGCATCTCGTCACGATTTAAGGGAGAGCTTATCTTGGCTGGGTCTCGACTTTTTCGGGGTTTTGTGTTTTTATATGTTTTTATCTATATATTTTTTATATATCTCCGATATATAGTTACGATAGAAAAACGGAAAAAAAAGAAACAAAAACAGAAAAAAAAAGAAAAAGTGGAGACCCCGGCAAAATAAGTACTCAAAAAATCGTGATGAGTTGCACCGATCCAATGTCTTTCGAGACTGCAACGATTCCAAAACTTTTGATGTTTGTTCAGACAGTGATGATCTATCCAAAAAATTTATCGTGTAGTCTCGACTCCACGGAGAGAAATGTTCAGTAAAAATTACGGAACTCACAGTTCGCTCACCGATTACGGAATCGACTCAGAAAATTTAAGTGACGGTATTGTAATTTTTCACAGGAGATTCAGATAAAAATTGCGGAACGCTCTGGAAAAATTCCGTGGCAGTTCCGTAAAATTTCTTACAACCACATTTCGCTCCGGAATTATGGAAAAGATACGTAATTTTTATTGAATATTTCTCTCCGTGGGCATCACTAAAAAAAGGTCATGAGAAAATTGTTGCTATCTCTCTTAGATTCCGAGATATTCATCAAAAGCTGGCCAAAAGTAAAAAACGACTTAACCCGGTTTACCGCTTCGCCACTGAATTATTGTAATTACTACAATTATTACAACAACAAAAATTTATTAAATAATTATAGGAATGAAACGCGTCCCGGTGGCCTGGCGTAGTGGTTAAGGCCGTTGCCTCACAACGGATAGGTTCCAGGTTCGATTCCTGGCCGGGTAGAATGGTGAGATCTAACCATTTTTAAAGTCTTGATCAATCGCCATATAGTCTCATCAGACTCGAAGCGATATAAAATAAGCATAAAAAAAAAAAAAAAGAATGAAACGCGTCACGTAATCCTCCGGCTATGTATCAGGGATACAGCCCCACCCCGGATTTTTTTCCAATCGTTGAAAGAACGAATAATAAAAATTGAAGCAGTATTGAATTTCCGTTTCATCCTGGGAAATTCAGAGATCTAATTTGTACTACCTATCGATTTCGGGTCTCGTGATAAAAACAAAACATGATTTCTGATTAATTTTTCAACACTTCATTGACATCTTCTTAACGATCGTTCAGAATCTATCAAAGCCGTTGGAATGCTATTGACATTAACCATCAGTGGCCATGGGTAAATACATTGTCCGATAAGAAGTGCAATTTATTGACGTATCGATAGAAATGTGAAATGATGAGAAAAACATTAAATATTACAATATTAGCCAAGTCCATGACCTCATATCCCACAAGCAAATAACTGGCTTTCATTTATATCCACTGCAAGTCCGATGAACGACACTTCATTGAATGTCGCTTACGCATGAGGCTCTTCATACTTCTGATGCGAAGATGAAATTAAGTATCAGTATCACAATTATTTTCTTGATTGGTTCAAGTGCTGCCGATGCAGTATTAGAGAATGAAGTAACCGATCGCGGATCAAGTAATCAAAACCAAACATCGGAGGATGCTTTCCATCCTATTCTGCTTGAGTGCCAGAACTCGGATTATCGGACTTATATTCAATGTTTGAAGAGGCATAAACGACATCATGAACACCATGATAATGCAGGTACTATAGATAAAACACCACAAAAGGTCTCTATTTGAATAAAATGAAATGATTAGTAATAAATGGATTTAACGTCAAAGAGAATATATTTTTCAATCTAAAAAAAATTAGATGCTACTAAAAAATGCTTCAACGATTGCGGACTTGACCAGTGCTCTACTACTCATTGCGTTCATCAATGTCACTCGAAATGCATGAAAAAGATCAAGGAGATACGCCAATTCATTACCGAATTTGAAACTGTGTGTACTCATGAACACTGCTCGCCCAAAGAATCTCCAGCAAGCGTGCCTAATATTACGACTAATATTGATATCAATAATGTTATTCATAATCATGTTAAAAAGGAGACACCGACGACGACTTTGCGAACTCCTTTACCACCAACTCCAGTGCCGCCAACCACAAGTCCGAAACCACCATACGGATGGTTTCCACCCATTCAAGTTCTATCAGAAGTGACAATCGGTGGCTGCATCAATTACCAGAATTGGCCCTGTATACAACGAACACAGGTAACGCTTCTGAGTTTGGATATTAAAATTCAATTCCGCATTATTTGTTTGTGTTCATTCTTTCTCAATAATTGTTGAATCAATGTTTGAAATTGTTCATTGATAGAGTTTGATGAACCTAGCTAACCGTTAAGTGGTCGCCAAAAAGGGGAATCCCCGCCGTTTTTCGATTTTTTTTCCCGCAGAAACTCCGTGAGTGAAAATACATAAAAATTTGGTTATAATAACTTATTGGTAGAAATGAAAAAAAAATCAGTGCCGGTCGCTCGTAGGGGTTGGTGAAATCGAATGTGACCCATGATGGGTCGAATGGTACATGTTTTCAACAACATTTCAGAATGACTCAAAAAGTCATGAAATGGGGACAAATCATCGAAATTTAACATGCCATTTTCGGGGTCATTGCAATAACTTCCTCTTTTTGGGTCAGGACTTTAACCCCTCACGGACGGGGCCCTTTTGTTTCCAAGCATGAAGTGGGCTCGATACAACTAGAATGTAATGACTTCTAATCAACGGAAAATTATGAAACCGATATGTAATTGAAGCTACAGTATTCCCTTTTTCGTTGTGATTTGTTTGGTTGAGTTAAACTCTACAGCTTTGGAAAATAATCAATTTTAGAGAGTCCTTTATATTTTCGTGGGTCGATGCCGTACGTGAGGGGTTAAAACTAATAATGTAGAAAGTAAGCTTATATTCTTCATGAACTGGATGGGTGCACCTCGTCGCAATTCCAGAAGGATTTATCTTGTCTGGACTTCGAGATTTTCGGTTTTTTAAGTTCACGAGACGAGACGAGACAGATATCGAGACAAACATTTGAAAAACAGAAAATACTGAAACTCAGACGTGATGGATTCTTCCAAGTTGGTGACGAAATGCACCGATCCAATGACTTTCGAGATTACGACGATTCCTAAATTTTCGATGTTTTTTTAGACCGTGATGATCTTTCCAAAGTAATTGTCGTCTAGTCTCGATGGCATCACTACTTGAAGATTAATTATTAAGGAATGAGTAAAAATGATGTTCATTGTTCTGAATGTTATCACTAATACTCTCATTTTTGTACTTAGCCAGCAAATTTCGACTGTTCCCTCTGCACAAATGTCTGGTACAAATATCAGTGTGAAGTTCACTGTTGTAATGTTCCAATACCAGGATCTCAAGGATCAACACCATTTACTTGTTCTGGACATGTGTAATACATAATTCCAAATGGGATGTGGAGGATACAACATAATATTTGATAGTTGGACTGATATATTTAAAGTTCATTAATGTAGTGGGGTAGCGATGATGAAAACTTTGTTGATAAACTGGTGAAATACGGTTAATAATCATGCATAATTAAATTATCATATTGTGGTGACTATGTCTCCACTACATCTTTGTCATTCACGCACGCACACACATATATATACTCAATTTTCCTCTCTAGATATTGGGCCAATTCCCCAATTTTCCTGTCGAGACATTGGACCAATTCCCACATTAAAAATCCATTTCCTTATTCCTTTGAAAGTCTAGAACATCTGTCCAAGTCATAAAACCATAAACCTTTCTTCAACCTAACTCCATATTAATGACCCGTTTATAACTATAATCCCTCAGGCGCCCGACTGACGGCTGTGACGTCACGGCAGACTCATAGGCCCCGTCGGTAGCACCGAACCAATAAGAGTCGAGCATTGACTCATCCCCTCTCCGTTTTTCGAACCAATCAACATCGACCGAAACCTCACTCTCCTTAAATATCGGACACTCGTGACACTCGACATTTCTCGACATCATTCATCATACGAATACTGGACAAACTCAACTTTGCTGAAAACTCAACTTCGCTCAAAGGGAAAAATCCATTGTAACTTATTCGCTGAATAAAAACCAATCATCACCTCGTAACCTTCTGCCTTCATTAATCAAGACTCACATGCTCACCCTCAATATTTTGAACAAGATCCTTCTGTCAATCACTATAGATGACTATCACTCAAAGTCTGTAATTATAACTACAAATGAATGCCATTTT